AATACAAGGGTAAAAGAAAGTGAGAAAGAATTATTTATGCAAATTAAATTTTAATATATTATGTATTTATTGCATTTTTTAAATATTGGTTTTTACAAGATGGAATGGGGTTTTTCAATATTTACAATAAGGAGGGGAGAGATTTCAATTATACTCACAATTGTTAAACACTACACAACATTAATACATCCAAGGCAGTAAGGCGCTTGGTTGTTTTTTATTTATTTATTTTTTTTTTTAGTTTTTTTAAACACTTTTACATTTTTGAAAGTATATCTGCCACCGTCTAGTGAGTGCCACCAAAAAAAGGAATCAAAATTATAGTTACCACAGTCTAAAAAGCCCCTTTTTTTTCTTTATCGACAATAAATAAGCTAAAAAAAATTCCCCTCCCAATATATCAACAGTATTTTGAGAAAATTAAATTAATAAATAAGTTTGTGCAAAATTTATAGAAAATATGGTGTTTTACGCTTATATCTAATTTACACATATTCCCTAGAGAATTTTATTTCGAAAATTGATAACTATGTATTTTAGAAATCTACATTTCTATCCGACGAGCAATGTTTTTAACACCACTCTTTTAAACTTTCTCTCTCACTCTCATTTTACTCGATTCTGAATCTTAAATTATAAGTTAAGAGTAATAAAAATATACGTGGTAATTAAGACAATTTTTTTTAAATTATTTATTTTTAATGTCTATGTCATGGAATATTGCTAGACAATGGACTGAGTAATTGTGGTAAAAATTGCACAATGTAATTAAATAATCAAATAATTCTTAATTTAAAAATTAAAAACAATATGATTTTATATATATTCACATGTGTGTAATACTTAATATTGAAGTCTTAAATTTCAATTGTACATTGACCACCAACCACATTAGGTTAACGGACAATAATTGTAATAATCAAAATAATAAATTAGCGAGCATTTTGGATTAAAACGTTCATGTTTTAATTCAAAAGACTATTACAATTACTATTAAAAAAATATTGTTAGGCACTGCATTAACAAAATATATAATAAAGAATGCCCAGATATAATTTTTACCCTTATTAAACTGTTAAATACAATATGAGACTATATGATTTAAAAGTGATTTTTTTTACAATTTTTAATGACAAGGTTTTTACATACATACATATATATACAATATACAATTTTTTTTGTTAATAAATGACAATTTCCTGTATCTTGCTCACACTGTCCAAAACCTATTCCTGATTTACAAAAAACAAAAAAAAAAGACTCAAAGAAAACTATCAAATTTGTATATTTGTTTATGATGTATGTAAGACATCACGAAAGAAATTTTGCTCCAATTAAAATACAATATTCATTTTCATGACAAGTACATTCTGAAAATAAAATAAATACAAACTATATTGACTAAGAAAGTCAATAAATAAATTATTAAAAAGATACAATTAGCTTTTTCTTTCAACCCACTTCCTTTCTTCACTTAAAACAGGAATAAAAAATATCGAAGTAAAACTATATTACTTTTTTTTTGCCATTTTATTATGTAAAACAATAATAATAATAAGACACTTGAAAGATATAACTAAAGTTAGTACATACTAAATTAGTAAAGTCCATAAAGATCATTAAAATCATAGATACAACTATATAACATTGACATACATCAAATTACAATAGATTACAATTATATAAACACAGTTTTAATTTTTTTGTTTTTTTAAATATTTTTATTGTTGTTATATTATATTAAATTGACTGCGAGAATAATTTGTATATATATTTTATCTTAATTTGGTTCAAACACTTGATAACAAAGCAACATTATAAACTACACATTTAGTACGTACAACACAGTTACTCATTGAATCGGAACCATTTAGCAATTCTGAAATAATTGTTTAAAACAATTCCTAATATATTATATATATAATTTTTTTATAAATAATTTTTTTCATTTTTTTTAGTTTTTTTTTTAACTTTTTGGACGACATGGTGCTTAGCCACATTATCCTGGCTATCACAATTTTGTGATGTCTTACTCACGCTTCCCCACCTTGCTATAATGCTATACTATTAAATAAATATAATATACAATTGGGTTTTTTATTTTGTTGTTTTTATATATATAAACTTGACTATACCGTACTCTATTTTCAGTCACTGAAAAAAAAAATCTTTTTGAATTTAATACAAACAAATTAGTAATTTTTTTATAATTATGTATTACAAAAGGGTATTTTTTTAATAAATCGTATATTTATATATATTACTATGTATACTATTTATATAATTAGAGAATCAGTTTTCTTTTTCTTATTCACATGTTACTAATCTTAAATATAAATAATAAAATTAAAATAATAAAAAAATAAACAGCCAATCACATCATCATTAAGGGAACATGAAAGAGTATTAGACATTTAAAAAAATTTACTTTTTATTTCAATCATTTTTAAATCTCAATTGCACTATTGTTGTTCTATTAAGAGATAATCAAATATAAATATATTAAAACTTTGAGTTGTTAAAAAAAATAATAATAATAATTGCGCAGACTTAAAATGAGGGATGTAAAATATAAATTTTCAGACAATTATTTCTTTTAGAGAGACCACAAATACCTACCAAACTGAAAGAGTTAATTTTTTCTTTTTTACCCTTAAACAATGTAATCAATAATGTTAAACATTTCCGATGATCCTTTAGACAAACAACAGTTGAATTTTTGAAAATGTTTTATCAACTCCTATTCGGTGGCTATTTGCGGTTCGGTAGGACTGTGCGATACTAAAAACATTGTTTCATATAACATAACAGATATTTGCAGGGAGGAAATTTAATTTGACAATCCCCCCCTTTGTTTCATATTTGTTTTCATAAAGAAGTTTGCAACTCAATCTTTGTGAAACAGCAATCAATTGGTTTACAATGTTGTGGTTTTTTTAATTATTATTATTATTATTATAAAGGTTTGATGAAAGAAATTGTTCAATACGATTTTTCAACGCATGCACATGAAATAATTAAATTTAGAGTCCCTCCATTAGTGGACTTGTTGATCGATAAGTTTTTTTTTTTTTTTTTGTTATTTTGTAACTTAAGCAAACTTGTTAGTTAGACAAATTATTACACCAGTAGAAAGACTAGAGAATATCAGGATACTTATTTTAACAACAGTTTAATTAAAAGGGTGTGATGTACAGAAAAGGTGAAAAAATAAAAACTTTGTGATTATTTGTTTATACATAGGCTCTCTAGAAAGTTTAAGCCATAGGAAACATACTTAGATATTACATCTATTCGCCTAAATGCTAGAAGACCTATTAAGTTTTAACCCCAATGTCCCGGCTTAATAATTAAGTTACATGTACTTAAATTTTAATAATTTTTACAATGATTATGCAATAATCCACAGCGATTTTCGTGCTTGCAGTTCAAATGGAAAATTAGCCAATAACTTAATTCTGACAAAAAATGTACACTGCTGTTATCTCACGTCAGACCAATATGCAACCCTTCTCTTGGACTTTTATTTTTAACTAAATTTTTATGATTTAGACGATTATAAATAACCAATTTTTTTTATATTTATTTTTTTTTCACTCTATATGTGAAAACATTCAGGTGTCGTCATTGGACAATTAATAAAAAGTATTGCACAGCCCGTTTTGTACAACTAAGCATTGCGTTTTTTGATTCTTTAAATAAATAATCACTGTAGCAAATTTGAAATTATATGTATTTATTATTTGGAGATCGTGATATATATATTATGCCGAACTTTCTGTTAAAAAAAAAATAAAATAAAATAAAAAAGGCACCAAATATTTCTTACAACAGTTTTTTTTTTATTGAAATTTTTTTCAATGATAATTAAAGAAATCAGTATTATTTTCTATTACATAGTTGTTCCTTGATTGTGCCATATCGTAAGGACCCAATAACTTGTTAATTTTAAATGGTTGTATCATTAAAAATATTATTTATATTATACTATACATTCCCACTTTAATCATTGGTCGTTTCCATGTGTAAATAATTCACACAGGAGAAAAGTGATTAGCCATTACAAGTTTTAAAAAAAATCAAAAATATAATGTAATATTTATGACAGGTAACTAAAAAAACCAAACTTATGGGCAAATCAGTATGTTTCTTTGTAAATACTGGCATGAAGCATATTTAATGGCTTGCCAAAATTGTAATTAGTTTTGATAATCGCTATCTGATACTGTATATTTGTTTTATTTGACACGGTTAAGATAAATATTATTGTGCATTATTATACAATTAAATAAAATGAGAAGACACCATGTCAATAAGTGAAATATTAAAACTTCATTAAAATTCCCCTACGTACAGTACAGTGAGCAATTACTATTTTTAAAAAATAACAACTTTGTCAAGTAATTAAATGTGACTCTTTGTATTTTACATTTACATAGTATTTAAGGAGATTTATAAAACAAGAGAAATAAATATAAATATATATACAACATCTTGGGAGGCTGAAATGATATATAAACAAACGAAAAGACATGTTGGCTACTGGTAAATAAAGAGGACTGGTTTTTGCCCGACATTGGAATGAGATCAAGCCGCAGGGGCATTGTTAATGTATCCTTAAAGCAACGGGCAATTGACTAAGAACCATCAGTATTTTTATTCCAACAATCTACTGATTTTGTGACCACGCAGCTAACAAGTACATTTTTACAAATACTTGTCAATAAAATGTGTGATTCTTTCCTTTTTTTGTGGATACGCAGTCTAAAGATATAAAAAAATAATACTGCATCACTTACTGATTCTCTAACGATATACCATTCCAACCTCTAGTGACCCTATCATAATATGAATATCTGAAAACAACTGACATACGTGTGTATGGGACCGATAGTAATAAATTATATTGGGAAATTGATTGTTTTCATTTTTTTCTAAACATCCATTAGGTATTTTTGTGAAAATAAAAAATATATGCTGTTGGGACCTTTAGAAATGAAAACAAGCACATAAGACAGGCTAACACACACGTAAACAGACAGACAACTATTCGTCCATTGCTTCACTTTTGTGAAAATATACTATTATATCCAATTTGAAATAGTTATTTTTTCTTTGTATTATAAACATTATTTTATCCAGGTACAACATAACTATTTACACAGATAAAACAGAGTGAATATGTAGATGTATATATGTATGTGTATATAGTTCACTCTAAACTACATACACATACATAACACACAACCACCATGATTATAATATTAAGGGGGCAGGAATTCAATAAACAATTTTCATTTCATGATAGTTAAAACGGGAAAAAAATTGAGCGAAAAAATGCACTATGGCTACAACTTTAGAAATTGTTTTGATTTTTCCCCATTACAAAGAATTTTGAAAATGAAAAGTCTAGGCCTAAAGTACAGGTTGAAACAATTAAGAAAGATTCTGTTCTATCTGAATTGGAATGTAGAAATAGAACTATTCAACATTATTAAATAAATTAGTACACAGAGTTCATATTGAATATAGAAAGGCCCAGACTCTGATTCTTCCCTATACTATTACATATAACATGAACTAACAGATATGTATGATACAACAATGCGTATAAACAACCCATAACTGAAACAGAAACATCTATCATGCCAAAGACCGCTGCCCATCACTATGTGTAGGCCAAAACGGTGAGGAGGTTCAATGTCCTCGATTTTCTTATGTATTTTTCTTCTTTTTTTATATTATTATATATATATAAATTTTTTTAATTTTTTGGTTGCCATTTCAGAGCCTGGTCACAGGAGTGTTTTTATTTTGAAGTAGTGGTCTGTAGATTCAATTTTTCATGTAGTGTTTCTTATCACGAAACTGCAATGTTTATTGCTGCAACTAAGGACTAGGGAAGTACCTAGAGGGAATGGCGCATGTCGACAAGGGAAAGGCGAGATGTTGACATCGCCACACCACTGTCACTTGACATCGATTGGACTGATGAGTGATCGTCGCTGTCACTCTGGTTACTTGTGTAACCTATCACATCCACCTCATCTGAAATAACAATTATAATTAATCTCAGTAACAAATATATAAAAAAAATAATAAAAATTCAAGATTGAATAGTAAATCTGGCATTTGAGATTTTTTAAAAATTAACAGCATACCAGATTCAGAGATGGAGGACGGGGATGAGAGATGCAGGGAAGACACATTACTCTGGGTCGAGTGTGTACTAGAGACAGTAGACACCGAACATTCGGAGATCGATCTCCGTTTGTTGATTCCACCACTCAGAGAGTCAAGCTTCCGCCTCAAGAACCTCTGCTCACGCTGCAGATGATCTTTTTGTATGGCGGATCGCTTTTCTTGTTGTTCGAGGTTCTATTAAATAAATGAATAATGTCCAATTAGGTGACCCATCAAATACACACTCCCATGTTTTACAAGCAGTTATTAGTAATAAGAAAAACAAGTATTAGAGTTATATTTACTAACTCTTCAGGAGACTAATTATATTATATATATTATTATAAATAAGTAGTGTTAATACTGTTAAATTTACCTTAATGAACCTTTTTGCCTTCGTAAGGAGGCCCAGGGTTGTGTGCCTCGCAGAATCACCCCCAAGTGGTACCAATTCCTTTAGTTTTTCCAAGCAATTTCGAAGGTGTGCTCGCCTAAAAAAATATATATACTTTTAAATAAGTTTATGCCAAATTCACTTAATCCCTTATTTCTACTCATAATATTGTTACATTTAAGTAGGTGTTAATAACTATTCTCACAACTTCCTCGCCCAATGCTTTGTTTTAGTATTTATACTTTATAGATTCCGCCTACATACTTATATTTAGGTTCGATCCCACGGGACGTTTAATAAAACATTTAAAAGAAATGTACGAATAGACCATTTTTTGGTCAAAAGTTGGAACAGGGGACCCATTGAATTATCTGGGGCATTGTTAGTGTGGCTTATTCTGAGTCACACGAGAATAATCTCAACTCTACACTCCAAATATATTTGCAGCCTCCAATTGGGCTAGATGGTTAAACGTTCTTTTAGTCCGTACACAAATATTTTACCGGGGACGTCGGTGGCCGCAACGGTTTAGGCATTGACACGGCGCTCATCGCTGTAAGGGAAAGGTCCTGGGTTCGAATCCAACGGCCTGCATTCGAACTCCCGACATACTTACAAATAGGCTTTTTTTTTAAATAAAAAAATTTAAAAAAAATATTTAAAAAACCACCACCACCATATCGATGTCATTTTTCTTTTGAAAATGTAAATTATTTCAATTTCAAAGATTGGTTGTAAATTTTTCCAGAAAGACACATTTTTATTTATGATATTATAATAATTTATTATTTTTATTAAGTAACATGGGTTTTTTAACTGTCTTTTATATTTATAATCTGTGTTTTTTAAACTTTTCCTTTTTTTGGGCTTTTAACTTCACATAAAAATTATATTTTTTGGTTATTTTTTACATTAAATCTTTTGGACGATGCGGCAAGTTTAACACATCTCATGGAAAAGTTAAAAAAAAATTACGTTATTTCAAATATATTTGAAAATTAAAAGTATATTATCTATTTTATTACCTTGTTATATTCTTCTATACAACTAATATGTGTGAATTATGTAATTCGTTTAAAAATTGCAATACTAAATGTTTTTTATTTTCCTTTTTATTTGTATATTTGTTTAAAAAAATAAATACATATATACGTACATATCTTATATTTTATTTCACATAAAATACCGGTCCCTACAAATCACATAAAGTATAAATAAAGCTAATTTGTATAATCGACTACATTTTATTATTATGAGTACACGCATGTATCAGTATTTTTTTTTTTTTTTAAGTTTTTGAATACCTCAATTCATCACTTATTATTTGTGGAAATGGATGATCGTACCAAGCATACAATTGGAAATTACTTTTTTTCTGATTTATATTCTCAGTTTTATTTTTATAGCTATCATTGACTGCTCGAACTATCATTGAGTGATAATCGAGTTATAAAGGCCGAATTGATGTCATTAAATTGACCGTCGAGTTGACAAGAGGGAAATTTCTTGTAGATAACGCACGAAAACGTGGATTAAGACTATTTCAAGAGGCTATCAACAATTTTTAAAGATTTTTAGTCAAAACGAGAAATAGAATCAACAGGATTTTTTTTGTTTTAGGGAAAATTCTGAAACAACCCAATTTAAGAAATATGCACAAAAAAAATGTTACTGGTTGTCTACCACTTCCGGTCCAGGTTTTACCGCTGACTCATGTCATTTATTGTGACGAAACTTCTTTAATACGTGACGAACATCACGAAGATTTATTATGTCATTGAATAATGGTCGATAGTTATATAAAAAAAATATGCTACTGATTTATAACAGAAAAAAGGTGTTCTTTTTTTCTCAGGGGTTAAAATTAAAGAGTTTATTGACACGTTTTCCTTGTTGGAAGACCGAAATTTGCGTTTTTTTTTTTTTTTCCTGTGAGTGGAAACTGCTTCCAGGAAGCGAAATGGAAATTTTCGTTCCGGTCATTGCTAATCTGTTAAGGGTCAGACGAAGCGGGATTTTACATCCCCCTGGATAAACCGTTATTTTTATTATGTTTACGTTTGAGGTGTCCGGGGATGTCCCAAGGACAATCAGGAAATAAGTTTTAAGCACTTTATAAAGCAAAAATATTACAGTATGAATTACGGTTGCTACAATGCTGTAAGCAATTTGAGGTTGTGTAACGACGTTATTTGTAGACCTTATCTCCTTTGGATATACATCCTGCAGAAACTGCAGTCCGTCTTTGCAAGTTATACGAGTGGAAAAGAAACGCGTTTTTTGTCAAAGCCGTTAACAAATAAAATGCAGAAAATGCTAAGCTCTTTTTTCTGCTTCTTGATAACGCGAATATAATGATACGACACCTCGGTTCGTCGGGCTCACGACAGCTTTCTAAAAAGTATGCCGGCCAAACGAGTATTGAAAGACCATTGTTCGACCCGATAAAAGATAAAAAGGGACAAATACTGTAAAGTGTGTCAGAAAACAATAATTGTTCGTGAAATGAACTTGCCTCCAACAACAAATATACACCACCACTCGGATAAACATATTTTAAATCTAGAAAGTTTTTCAACTTAACACACCATTTATTTTTATGTCGTACATTTTACTTGCTAATGCATTTCGGGCAACCTCCCTGGCACCTCTCGTTCTTCGAAGCTATAATATTTTATTATAATAAATACACATATTTTTTTTTACCAAAAACAGTAAGAAATCTTTTTTTATGTACATTTATATTTCTTGTATTTCGTGGATATCTAGGAACCATCGGATTAGAACTAAAATGCCCAACGGCCGCACAGCAGCAGGTCGTCATTCTGTTGTACAAAGCCCATCCCTTCTTCGCCTTCTCAATTCTCAACGGCTGTTCTGTTATTTCTTACCTAAGTTCTACGTAACTTTAAAGCTGCTTTAAGTTACTTTCAGTTATAAACTATACTACAAAAAATATGTTGAAAGTGGTATTATTCGAGTTGAAAAGAGCTGTTAGCAGTTCGATGAACTCTGGGTCCGCTTATTCTTGCCTTTATCAAGACGAATTTCAATCTTTTACGCCCCTTGAAACAGTCATTTCTTTAAGTTTATAACTTTAGTATATTACAAATAAAAATTAACAAAATATTAAGTGCAGTATAATTATAAAATAACGTATGAACTTATATTGGTATAAATTCTATATTATTCGCTTCAGCAAATGTATAGCGACGAAAGATAATAATCGGGTGTATATAGAAGATGGCCTGATACAAAATTAATAATAAAAATTAAAACAACACTGGGGGAGGGGCGAACCCTTCCGCATTATTTATCATATCTTCTCCCCGGGAGAATATATAATGGGACGAAGAGTCGGGCAGGCAAGTTTTGAAGTTGAAAGCCGGATCCTAAGCCCCAAAATGGGGATAACATACTGAGGTGGATATGTTGAGTAATATAAGTAGAAAAATTGATATAATTTTAGTAACACCTATGCATAAGTTTGGATCTTGTATGGACCAGTTTACATAATTACAGTAATAGGATTTAAAATCAAATAAAATATTTTACAAATAAAAAATTACTATCCAAAAACTTCGGCAACATGATTGATGATTAAATTAACATATCACCAAACCATGAAATCCTAGGAATATCTGATTTTCTGTTGGAAACATGAACATATTGCTAAGTTCACCCACATATATCTATAAGAACGATCTTAAAACCTACCAGCCCCGTTTATCGTTGTCATAATTTGTTTGTATTACCCTGTACAGCTCCAAAACAACTATCATTTATAGAAGCAAGAAAAAAATAAAATAAAATGGCTTACATTCGATCTGCGTTTGTGTAGTGTGTTTTGTGTGAGTACTGGCGTCGGTATATACCACCATCCAACAAAAAAACGTGGGAGTACGTATGTGTGTTGTGTAAGTGAAAAGTGGAAAGCAAAATAAAGAAAGAAAGAGAGAGGGGGAAGTGAGAAGAAAAGAAAGAGAGCAGCCGAGGAGAATAAATAGCAAGAAGGAAGAGGAAGAGGGAGAGGAAAAGGAATGGTTAGAAAGAGCGAGCATGATTTACGAAGTAAGTTTGCAAGCAGAAAGACGAGTGACAGTCTGTTCGCTTGCTTATTATGGTTTGTGCAAAAGAATGTGAGTATGAGAGTTGTTTAAGAGAGAACGAATGCGTTATGAGTACGTGTTTGTTACACGATTGAATGAGTGAGTATATGCCATGTAAGAGAATGCGAGTTTCGCGCGTGAAAGTTCGTTGTGTTGAAAGTCAAAGCATTTAATGGATTATAAGTGCAAAAAGTGAAGTGTGCATACTCACCCCATCTCAATTATTTCGATAAAAAACTTTATTTCTTTGCCTTTATATTTATTCGGGTATAAAGGGGGTAACAGATCTACATTATTCTCGATCTCAGAATCCCGAAATTCTGTGAAATTGTAGCTCTGGTAATATATGCCGGGGTGCCAGGACGATTGCCTATTATGAGTTCTTTCCGCCGTGAAAGAAAGCAACGAAGGACATTTTCCAGATTAGGAGATAGACCCCAATTATCTGACGTGGGAAACAATGGACAAAGCTCACTGGAAGATAGCAGACCTCCCCAAATTCCCAGAATTATAGACTAATACGAGCGACTGTGTCCATTTGGATTTCTTCGTAAGCGGTTTTAGATTAGAATTCGTATTATCGGGCCATTTAAGGGTTTTTTTTGCGCTAGTACGGTCAGACCGGATTGAATCGAAAGTCTAGGTGAAGATCTAGTTGGAGCGAGTCGGCCAAGGGTTACTGGACTTTAACTATGAAATAAAGTCAAGTTAGAGAAAGAACAGTGCGCCCTTGGGGTCAATCCCCACTTCTCGACACGGCACAACCTTTTCTTAACCCCTTCGTCACAATAAAAGAATTGGAATTTTAGACCTCTTTAAACTCTTTTATGACGGACGAGTCTATCGTGTCACCGGGGCTTGATAAACGGAAAGATGTCGACCTTTGAAAATCAATTTGCGCAAGAGGAAGACGAATCATCCAGCTGGCGATTGGTCGATCGGCCCCGTTCACTTTTTCTTCACCTTCACTATATATAAAACATAAAAA